GAAACACACTGTCAGTACTCAGAGGGCACAGTGACTGGGTACAGAAAGCGTCCTTCAGTACTCAGAGGGCACAGTGACTGGGTACAGAAACACACTGTCAGTATTTAGTGGGCACAGTGACTGGGTAGAGAAAATTAAAATTGCAGACAATTAAACAACACGCTGGAAGAGGAAGGAATTTTCACACATATAAAATCCTTCATGATGACACAGCCTAGAACTGCAGGGCAAAGGGCAAGACTGACATTCTTGCAACAATCTTCTGCCGGAAACACCAAGTGGATGAACCATCCTGACCTCCTGCTCGGCTTATTCAGTTCACTCCACGTGATACCAAGTAACGGTTGGAGACACTGGATGCTGCAAAGGCTATGGGCCCTGACAACGTTCTGGCAATAGTACTGAAGATTTGTGCTCCAGAACTTGCCGCTCCAATAGCCAACCTGTTTCAGCATAGTTTCAACTCTGGAATCTACCCGATGATATGGGAAATTGCCCAGTTATGTCTTATCATGAAAAGCAGGACAAATCCATCCTGGCCAATTAACACCACATCAATCTACTCTTGATCATCAGTAAGGTGGCAGAGGTATTGCTGACAATATTCAGCAGCTTTCACATCATACAAATGCCAGGCAATATCCATCACCAACAAGAGAAAAATTAACCTCAACCACTCAACAATATTATCATCATTAAATGCTACACTATCATCATCTGGGTCGTTACCATTTACCAGAAACTCAACTGGACCCGTTGCGTAAACAGTGTGGCCACAAGAGCAGGTCAGAGGCTAGGAATACTGTAGCGAGTATCTCACCTCCTGACTCACCAGAGCCTATTCATCATCTACAAGGCATAAGTCAGGAGTGTGATGGAATACTCTCCACTTGCCCTGGATGGGTTCAGCTCCAACAACACTCAAGAAGCTTGACACCGTCCAGGACAAAGCAGCCCGCTTGATTGGCACCACATCATCAAATATTAACTCTCTCTACCACCAATTCTCAGAAGCGCCAGTGTGTACTATCTATAAGATGCACTGCAGTAACCTATCAAGGTTCTTCTGACAATAATTTCTACATCGAAGGGCAAGGGCAGCAGATATATGGGAACACCACCACATGCAAATTCCCCTCCAAGTCAGTCACCCTTCCAACTAGGAAATATATTGCCGTTCCTTCACTGTCACTGGGTTACAATCCTGGAATTCCCTCCCTGGTGGCAATGTGTGTTGACTTACAGCACATGGACTGCAGCGGTTCAAGAAGGCAGCTCACCACCACCTTCTCATGGGGCAACTAGGGACACTAATGCTAAAGGAATGCTGGTCTAACCAGGAACACCCACATTCCAGGAAGGAATTTCTGAAAAGGTATCGCTCACACTGTGTTAGTTACCATGGTGTCACCATGTTGAAAGGAGCTATCTCTCTCAGTAAATCTTACTGAAGGAAGAGAGACCTGTTTTTACCTGCGAGTGTGCCTAATTCCTGAAGCTGCTGCTATAGCTCTTATTTCAATGTTTTTATCTGCTCTTTGCTTTTAATCTTCTGCATTGTCTGAGGTTGTGGCAAAGATGTAGGACACTAACAGATTTATAATAAGACTCTCTCTGGTTAATCCATTGAACAAAAACATCACCAGTGAGCTGGTCATGTTGGTCTGGCAGAGGCACACCGTGGATTCTAATCCCAAATGGTGTGAGCTTCAATTGATTTTATTTTATTTTATTTGGTTTATTGTTGTGACATCTACCTAAGTAAAGTGAAAAGTTTTGTTTTGTGAGCAGTGCAGGCAGATCATGGCAAACAAGGGCACACAGGTCATAGGGTGCTTAGACAGAGTGACGCACGCAGGTTACACTTGTGCACAGGAGGTGCACAAAGCAAGATCAACATTATTTGAAGTTAGAGAGGTCCATTCAGCAGTTTAATAATGGCAGAGAAGAAGCTGTTCTTGAACCTATTTGTGCGTGTGTTCAAGCTTCTGTATCTTCTGTCTGATGGAAGAGGCTGTAGGAGAGCATTACCAGGATGGGAGGGGTCTTTGAAGATGTTGGCCATCTTTCTGTGGCAACGAGAAATGTAGATGGAGTCAATGGATGGGAGGTTGACTGTGGTCTGGGCTGAGCATTCTGCATTTTCTTACAGTCCTGGGCAGAGCAGTTGCCATACCAAGCCGTGATGCACCCGGATAGAATGCTTTCCATGGTGCATCTGTAAAGGTTGGTGAGGGTCCTTCTGGACATGCCAAATTTCCTGAGCTCCCTGAGGAAGAAGAGGCGTTGTTGAGCCTTTCTTGACTGTCGCTCCTACGTGGGAGGTCCAGGACAAACTGTTGGGCTTCACTTCCAAAGCCTGCCTTTATTGCCGATCCCTCAATCAATGAGGCAGTGGTGGTGAGTTCGTCTTGTGAAGGGGCTGCAGCCTATTTGGTTTTCAATTGCTTCTTTGAGCATCTCCCATTGTTTATTCATTGCCACATCTTTTAGTCTCTTCACCCAATCAACCGTAACCAGCTCACCCCTCAGGCCTACATAATTGACCCTGTTTTGGGTTGAAGGCTGTTGTGTGTAATGAGACCCTAAAACTGTAAGAAATAAGAATACGCTGTTCAGCCCCTTGAATCTGCTCTGCCATTCAATAGAACGATCCGGCATTCCCCACATCTCCTTTCCTGCCCCTTCCGCGCGATTGGA